CCTGAAGACACCTAAGGGAAGAGAATGACTAGTTATCTACTCAATGAGACCATGTCCTTGTCCCTCCTGGAAGCCCCTCCCTGAGAGCAAACTCTCAAAGCTCTTCCTTCCTGAAGTGCTAAGGAGAACTAACTGCTCACATTTTAGAGCTATTCAGAAAATTGCAACTTTTATTCTTCCTTCTTTTCTATCTCTTTTTTTTTTTTTCAGATAATAGCCAAAAACTTGGATATGCTTTTTCTGACACTCTGGTCTTTCTCTGGGAAGTTTTTCTCCAGCCTCTTTTCCAGCATTCATCTGCTTATCCACCGTGCCACTGCTGCTGGCTGACCTCCGTCTGCTGCTGAACATGCTACCCTCAAGCTAACTCACACAGCATGGCTTTTTGACTTGCCCTCCTCCATCTCCATTCTCCTGGAAACTTCTGGAATCTACAGCTTGCCCACCCTGCCGCTATTCTCTCAGATGCTAAAAAATCACCTTCTAGATTCCTTCTAGTCAGTTTCTAGACTAAGAAAACCCAAAAGAAGGGAGTTGCAGTCTCCCTCAGTGACACAGGTAAAGACGTAGTAGCTAGAGAGGGAGATCCAGATGTCCACCATATCTGCTCAGGAACAGGAAGAGGAGCTTCATTAATTTGCCAAGATGAGAGAAGGAGGCAGCCCAAGGCACTGACTAACAACCCTGACACCCAAACTGTCCTAATGGAAGGAGAGAACTGACTCTCAAGTTGTCCTTTGACCTACACACACACACACACACACACACACACACACACACACTTAATTAATTAATAATGTAATTTTGAAATGCTTTAAAAAGAAATCAGAAAAGGAAGCTATGCAAAGGTTTAAAAACCTACAGAGAGGTGGGAAGCCTGGGGCAGATGGGCAGGAGAAGAAGGAGGGGAAACTGAACAAGGGCAGGAAGCAGGGGCCACACAGGACCCAGTAGCAAGGACCAATTGAGACTTTGCATTCAGTGGGGCAGGAAGCTGGGAAGATTGGGACTGGATGGAGTGTGTATTATGGTGGAATAGGCTGTGTCCTTGAAATTCCCACTATTTCTAAGAAATAAGTGAAAGACTCTAACGTGTCTTCTTATGCTAAGGAAACGCCCATGCACAGTTCTCTCAAGTCCCAGGGGTCTCTACCACAGTAAATAGGATAATTTAGGGCTGAGAGGTTGCCAGGCTGTACATCAGCTGACAAAGACTTTGACTACTGCCCATGCCAACAGTAGACCAAGTGTGGAGTGTCTTGGGTTGATTGCCCCAACACGGAGACGGCTTGGGCCTGAGGCTTAGCTAGACCCCATCTCATATAACTGACCTCCAATGATCTTGTTCAAGTTCTAATCCTCTTGAAACACTTCCTCTAAACAGAAAAATGATGCCTTCTGATTGGCCTGCCAGGGCATGGCTAGTATCAACACAGACTTCCAGGCAATACACTTCAATTTAGTAGGCACTCTGTCCCTAATCATGACCGAGTGCCAGCTACTTCAGTTCAGCCTGTCTGAATACAAATCCCAAGGTGACCCATTTTATTCCTGAGAGGGCAGGAAAGTGAGTTGTCCCTTGACCATACCATTCAAGTACAGCTGTTATACCTGCCCTCAAGCATACTGAGCACAGGGCCCAGAGCCCCAGCATAAATCAAAGCACTTAATGCTAAGTGATGGTTCTTTCTTCCTCCTACTCTCTCAAGATCTCTACAAACTGACCATTAGCAGTTTCACTGATGGTGAGACTGAAGGAGGATGAATCCCCTGACAGTCAAGTGGCCTGAAATCTGACCTAAGGCCCTTTAGGGCATCAGCACAGCCAGGAGAAGGGATTCCAAGAAACTGCAAGCTCAAGAGGACCCAAAATTCAAGCAACCTACAGGCAGGGCCTAGACCCTCTGGTCAGTAATGTAGGAGAGGCTTGTGTACAATGAATAAGGTCACAACATTCTGGCTGCAACTGGCTTAGATCCTGGTGGAAGAATTCCAGCAGAACTCCAGGGCTCCAAGCCTTACCTGACCAAGCCATCAGCTCCAGAGTCCTGTTCACCTCATCCCACCCCTGCTCAGATGGACCTGCTATAGGGAAGCACAGCTGGATTCCCCCAGACCACTATTCCAGGGGCTCGAGAACACATCTGTCCTCTGTACATCTGGAATCATGTACGGCTGCAGAAGGCAGGGCTCCTGGGTCCTGTGCTGAGGTAGAAGATTAGAGATCTACCCACTCATTGAGACCATTTGGACAAAGGAAGGTGTTCCCTCTGCATAGGCTTTGGCCAGAGATCCCAGAGTCTGAACCTTTGGCACAATGAAAGCACATTCCAGAAACCAAACTGATACAGGTCCTACCAACAGCCTTTGTCTGTGTTCTATTCTCAGCTCCAACCCCACCCTGCCTGCCTCATTGTGTCATCAATTTGACTTGTGCTGGGGAAGGGCTTCATTAAGCCCCCAGCCCTCTTCTCCCCTCTTGTAGAGGAAACAAGATTGCCCATCTCAGGGCCAGGATTCTTGTATCTGAAGGAGCTCAGGGGGTGCCCTGGACATGCCTGTAGGTTCGGATGATGCTCAGTGCTCCTGTGTGGAAGGAAAGAGGGCAGGGAAGAAAGAGGCAAAGAATGAGGCAGAGGCAGTGTGTGGAGCGGTGGGGAGTGTCCATGGAAAAGACTGAATGACTGACTGCCCTGGGGTCTGAGAGGAGTGATGCTGCCGCCATGTCCTCTCTCTACCCCTGAGGACAAGCCCCAGGGAGCCCTGTGCATGGTCCATCTGCAGGGGCCCCGTGAAGTGTAACTGCTCGGCACGTGGGAAAGGCAGGCAGAGGACGGTGAGACACACATCTCAACACAGTAGCATTCAAAGAGATCAAAATGCATTTAATGTGGTCTAGTCTTGTTGCCTACATCTTTAGATACCACTATGTATTGAAAATAACATGAAAATTCTCCAGTTTCACCGTTTAAAATAGATTTAACATTCTATGACCTCACACAGGGCAGACACCCATACAAGGGCCTCCCTATGGTGTGTTCTTCTGCCCCCAGGCCCTCGGCTGGACAAGGACCAGGTGCACAGCACCAGATGGGCTTAGGGCAGCTGCTTCATCCTGTGCAGCTTTCTCTCTCTCTCTTTCTCTCTTTCTCTCTTTCTCTCTCTCTCTCTCTCTCTCTCTCTCTCTCTCTCTCTCTCTCTCTCTCTCGTGCTGCACACAGCACCCATGCCACTGACATTCACATACACACACCCTGGGACCTCCACACACTCACACATGTTCACACACACACACAGATGCATCCATGGCCTCTGACAGGATCTGCTGCAGAGCCTTACTTACCATCAGACTCCTCAGACTGATGCACACTGCATACAGCCTGCATAACCAGGGCAGGGCAGGAATTCAAGTCTGACTGTGATCGTGTCTGTGGCCAGCATCCAGCCTGACCAGTTCAGGTTGGTGAGCACTAAACTCACCTTACCCGAATAAAAAAACAAGCACACACATACCTGTGGGCAGACATAGACTACCTGTATACAAACACCTGTGTATACCATATACCTGTATACCAAGTACCACACACAGGGAGACGATGGTGCGAGCACGTCTGTACATGTGTGCACACACACCCTGGCTTTCCTTCTCATGCACTCCCCAGGGGCCAAGCTTTCCTGCTTGGCACAGGCACATGGCTCCCCTCTCAGTGGCCTCCCCCATCAGGTACACTAAAGAGGGGGGCTAGTTTGGTCTTTAGCACAAGCAATAAATAAATACAGGGAAGGAGGAAAAAAGAGGGCAGGAGAATTTGAAAATACAGCATCTGCCTGCCTTTGGCAGAGATGAAAGGCAGCTTGAGCTGCTCCCCAGCAGGGCCCAGGGACTGGACCGTTCTGGCAGGCCTGGGCCTGGAGGAGGATGGGCTGGCTAGAGTTCTGAATGCTTCAGGCCACTGAGATGAGCTGGGAGCAGGCCTTGGGAGACCAGAAGCCCCTAGACCCTGTTCTGGATACAGGCCCACCTACTCAGAAAGAATGACAGGTGCCCAGGCTCCCACAGTGACACTCAGTAGCCAGGACCCACCCTCTGACTCTCCCTAGCCCTGATACCTGGATGGAGAAGTGAGTGACAGGCGAGCACTGCCAGGCTGAATGCACCCTTAGGCCCCAGGGCCAAGGCTAGAAAAGTCAGTGAGATTTGGGGGCAGAGGTCTGGTCAAGAACACAAAGGAGCTCAGGCCTCTGTAACAGGTCCTAGGTGGATCTCCTAGGTTAGAAATTAGCATGGAATCTTAAGCTAGATGCCTGGGAGCAAGCCCACCTCAGGTCTCCCTGACTGGGCATTACAGGAAGACTCCATGGGCCTCAGGAAGGAAAAGTTCCACCCCAGGTCCCTAAAGGCTAAACAGAAATTCTTTGTTTTATGACATCTTCTCTGGTCATCTCTATGGTGGCAGGGGGCTGGTGTGGGATGGTGCTGGGGAGAGGGGTGTTTCTCTCCTCCCCTAGACTCTTGCCTTCCAGCAGGAGATGACTGGCTGGGGCAGCAGGGCTTCCTCATCCTGCCCCAGGAGTATGAAACAAGTCAGGCAGGGCCATGGCTGTGAGAGGGCAGTCTCTACAACCTCAGAGGGGCCGGGGGGGGGGGGGTTTCATGAGTGGAGGTAGGGGCAGTAGGGAAAGATTAAACAAGTCTGAGAAAACCAGAAATGACAGAAGCCAGACAACCAGAGTCTCTAAGGCACAACCCAAGCTGTGAGTCCAGCAGCGGGGTGGGGCTGACCCACTTCCAGGGAAGGTGGGACCTAGACCCCATGCTAATTTCCTGAGTGTCCTTTTCTAAGAAGCACCCACTCTGGTGTTTCCTATGCCCCTTGCTGCAAGGGGTGGAGGCCTGGGGCAGATAGGGGGTGAAGCACACGGGAGCATGGAGTTGGGGGGAGTCTAAACCCAGCTCTGAGGCAGCTGAGGTACAACATCAGACAGAAGAGCAAGCCGGATTCACCCTCGTGGACCCCACCCCCAGGGACATCCAGACACTTTATTAGGATTGTCAACATGGTCACAAGCAGCCTGATTCATCCTTAAGAGTGACAACTTGCAGGGCCCTGGCCCACGTGAGGGAGAAACCAGACCTCTGAGAACCTTCAGGGTTCTCTGTCCAGCTGCCTGCCTGGCAGCACTGAGTAGAATTCCAACTGTCCCCACACCATGAATTTTAAAAATTGAACCACCTGTTAGTGTTTTCTTGTGTTTTGTAGTTTTTTGTTTTTGTTTGTAAACAGTCTTACCCAAGTTAAAAACCAATGAAGTCTACATACACAGCCTCCTCCCACCAGGGCTGGGACCTGCTCCCGAGGCCTCCAGCAGAGTCCCCAACTCCTGTGCAACCCTTCCCCAAGAAGTCACCTCCTTGCTCATGTGTATACACCAGCCTCTGAGGCCATGAGCTGGTCATTCTGGCCGTTCACTCTCCCGCCAACTTTCCCAAGCTATTGCGGAAAAAACATGAAAAAGACTAAGATGCTACTGAGTCTGTGACCCGAGGCATTTGGCCTGCTCTGCTCAAACACAGGTCCCCAAGGGACATGGGGACCTATTGTGGTCGGGGTGGTGCTGCATCTAAGCCAAGGGCACTCAAATCTCTGACTCCCGTCTGTAGGGCCGCTCCAGGGCACCACTGCTGGCCTGGAGTCTGTCAAAGTCATGCTCAGGCTGAGGGCTGCGGCCATCCCGGTCTGTAGCCACTTCGTCCTCCTCATCCCGGCTCAGGAAGGCCAGCTCATTCTCATAGCAGAAAGAGTTGGCACTGGGCAGGAGGAACTTGTTCTCCACCAGGTCCTTGGCGCTGCAGCGGGGTGTAGATGGCACCTCATAGGTCTTGTGGAAGTGTGAGTAGTCAATCTTGTACTGGTTCTTCTCTTCGAAGAGCACTGGCTCAAAGCGGTGGCCCCATAGGATCTCATTAGCCAGGTAGGAACTGCGAGCCTGTGTGGTCATGGCTGTGGCCTCTACCATGCCTTCTAGGATGACCACAATCTCAAAGTCATCCGTCTCGAGGTCCTGACGGCTAATGCCGAACAGTGGGCTAGCCTCATCAATCTCGTGCAAGATGGTGATGGGTGATACCAGGAAGATCCGGTCTAGGCCCTTGTCAAAGCCAACATCAATGTCAATCTGGTCCAGTGGGATGTACTCACCCTCCTCTGTCACCCTGGGCTTGATGAGCTGGGCTCGCACGTGAGCCTCTACGATGTGGCTCTTGCGCAGGTTGCCCACGCGCCACATGAGGCAGAGCTTGCCGTCACGCAGAGCCACCACGGCATTATGGCTGAAAAGCAGAGTCTGTGCTCGCTTCTTGGGCCGTGCCATCTTGGCCATGATGGCACCAATCATGAAAGAGTCAATGATGCAGCCCACAATGGACTGTGCCACCACCATGAAGACAGCCACCGGGCACTCTTCTGTCACACAGCGTAGCCCGTAGCCAATGGTGGTCTGTGTCTCAATGGAGAAGAGAAAGGCTGCCATAAAGCCATGGACCTGCAGCACACAGGGTGTACGGCCACGACCCTCGGCTGGCTCCAGGTCTCCGTGGGCGACAGCAATGACCCAGAAGATGATGCCGAACAGCAACCAGGAGGCAAGAAAGGCCAGAGAGAAGATGAGCAGCATGTAGCGCCAGCGGATATCCACACACGTGGTAAACATGTCAGCCAGGTAGCGCTGTGACTTCTCATCCATGTTGGCGAATTCAATGTTGCACTGACCGTTCTTCTTGACAAAGCGGTTGCGGCACCGGCGCCGTGTATGCACCTTGCCATTGCCAAAACCGTTGGCGCCTGACATGGTAACCAGGTGCAGCCCGTCCTCCTCTGATGATACGATGCTGTAGGGGTTGGCCCGACTGGCTGCGGTCATCCCGGGGTCTGGTGGACCCTGGCCTGCCCCCAGGCTGACTCCAGGTGGGGGCACTTCTGCAAAAGAGAGGACAGTAGGTCTGTCTGGGCAGGTATCCAGGGCCATGACAGTAACTGACAGACACAGCCTCCGTTTAGTCACCACAGATCCCCCGTCTTCCCTCCCACTTGAAGCCTGCTTCTCAATCCTCCTTCACAGCTTGGAAAACAGTCTCCCTGGGCTCCCAGAAGCTCCAGCCAGAAACCTTGGCTTCCTCTCATCTCTTTAGCTCCTATACCAAGAGCTTTGCTTTTACTATATATTTATTTATTTATATTTCTCTGACCCTTGTAGCCCAAACCCTGGTCACCTCCAACCTGGACCAAGGCAGGGGCCGTCTCATCAGCCTCACTTCATCTGCCTTCCTCCCAGCCCCCCATGACAGGCACCAGAAGCCTGAAAGGCACCAAGTCAAATCCCATCCTTCTGCTATTCACAGCTAACTGACCCTGGGAGCCACAAGGTTGGTACAGGCAGTCCCACAGCCTTGTTGCCCAGCTGAACACACTCCCCAACACACACACACACACACACACACACACACACAATGCTCCACCCCCACTCTCTCTCACACACAGGCTCCACGTACTCCCCCCATGGACCCCCCACACGCCCCCTCCCACAGCCATGCTGCTGTACATCAGACTTTGTTCTCATGATGTCATGACAGACCTCCTCATGCCCTAGAGGCAATGCACACATGGTCCTGACACTGCACACTCCAGCACAGATCCTCACGTGGAATAGCAATAGCGACAAGCGTAACAGCTGTGACACTGGCCAGCTCCCTCACATCGGTCTGTTTATGTCGCCCACTGACTTACCCTAGGTCTAAACAGCTGCCAAGCCCCAGGCCTCATTATGCCTGACACTCAGTGCTCACTCTGCTCATCCTTTAGAAGCCCAGAGCACCCACTAAGCACCCGTAGGCTACACCCATATCTTTTCTATCATATGATATAAAGGGTAGCCCTAGAATAGACACCCAGATTGCATCTATTAAGGTTGCCCTAACTTCAGAACAGACATCTTCTCCTATCTCTGCTGTGGACCACAAGACCACAGCCCCCACAAGTATCACTTGCTTCCATGACCTCCTACAGGGAATACCATAACTCCAGGCCAGCCTAGCACACAGTCCTCCCAGAGAAGGCCTGAAGAATGGTGTGATGGCCAGAGCAAACCCATTTCTCAGGCCCAGGCTTTATACTCCCCCCATTGCTTCACAATGGCTGGTGCTAGGCTAAGCCAGGCATCACAGCATGCCTGGCCCCATAAACTCTAGCCTGTCTCAGCTGGGCTGAGCTGAAAGTGAGTGTCCGCTGATGTAGCAGAACACTGATGAGCTGAACATGCTGTGTCTCCTCATCACAGAGATGCCATACACCCCAAGACCTACCCAATGACGGGTCCATTTAGAGACCAATAAAGCCTCGGAGCCCTCCGTCTCCTGGCATCACTAGGAAGATGGAGATCCCAGAAGAACCCAGGGAAGCTGGGCACCTGGGGCAGGCCAGATGCTATCAAAACTTCCCGCCCTTGGACCCTCGAGGGTGGCTCTGCCCCATTTTTCAGAGCTGAGAACAGGAAGACACTTGCCCAATGCCTGTAAGCAGAGACAGCAATGCTGGACCCCATCTAGCCAGCACAATCCCTGGCCACATCTACATCAAAGGCTCAGAGGGACATGGCCTGCAGACTCTGCCACCAACACAGAGGCATGGGTGGAGACCAGTAGACCAGACAGCTCAGGAAGGACTCCCGGGGTCTCTGTCATGAGCCACAGTGCTACTGAGTCCTGTAGCCTTGCAGACACAGACACAGCCATGAAGCTCGAGAACCACAGAAAGAGTTTGTCAGGCATGGGGCAAAACACAACCAAGAGCCTGAAGTCATCCTCTAATGACCATGGAGGGTTTCTAAAGGGTAAAGGTACTCCTAACCAAGACATACGGTCTCCAACACGAGAGCCAAGATCTAAACCTCACGTCTAATGCAAGGTGTCCTACCATGTAACCTCAAGCTCTACAGGGTCACTTGTCCTCACTCTGACATCCTCCCCTACACCTCTGTCAGTTGACCACCTCACCATGGACCTGTGTAGCTGGGGCTCGGGGCTGTAATGTTGGATGTTGTTTCTGTCTAGGCCAGGAAGCAGAGAGTTGGCAGGGATGAGGAACCCGGGAACCATTCTGGGAAGACATCTCAGCCCCGGGTTCCTCAGCCTTCCAGGGGAAGGTGGCCAAGGTTGGGGTACTCAGACGCCGGGGGGAGGCTGCCAGATTCCAGGAGCCAGGCTTGTGTGGCCTAGAGGCCTTGAGGGACGTCCAGCGGGTCATGGTGGCTCTGGCTGGAGCTATGAGCAGCAGCTGGCCTGCAGGGAACAGAATCACAAGAATCAAAGACTGGGGATCCCAGTCTAGAACCCTGCTCTAGGAAAGCAGCCTGGCTTCTGGCCCCCCCATGCCGCAGACATTCCTAGAGTCACCTAGGCATCGTCACAGACCTGAGAACGCCCACTTCTGTTGATATTCCACCCACACCACAGAGAAAATCAACTTAAAGTTTATGCCTGTTCCACACCTTGAGCCAGAAACAGATCCTGAGTGAATTCACTTGTTCCCAAACACCAAGAGAGTATGTGTGAGCATCAGAAGCAGACAGAGCCCTAGGATGTGGAAGCCCCTCACTTGGGGCTTGATGAAGACAGACCCAAAAGGAAGACCCAGAAGCAGAAACTAGCGTTACAGACAGACCAAGTGTCAGAAGGAGACTCCACATGAAGGCTTAAGCAAGAAGGTGCTAAAGATCTCTGAGAACCAGAGGGCAGAGTCTCAGCCGGGGGCATGCAGGCTGGCAGGCTGTTGTTCAATGGGCTGTGCGGAGACTGGGGAAGAAAAGGAGTGAGAATTTGTTGCACTTGAAGAGGTCTAAGTAAGAAAAGAGTCCAGCATCCCATTTCATAGGTGGAGAAGCTGAGGCTAAAGGAGAAAGCAATGCTCAAGCCAACAGCAAGAGCCACAATAGCAAGGCCCAAGCTGGCCAGTGGGAGTTCTGAGCATGGCCAGGAGGGAACAGGGAGACTCAGTAGAGTACAGTACCTGAACTAGACAAGGAGAGTCACAACTGGATGGCACTCAAAACAAAAGCAGTCACAGTGGGCAACAGACCCCACAGGAGGAAACGACCTGTCCTAGACCTGCAGGCTTAAGACCAGCTTCTCATCCTGGCATCTGCAGGTACAGCCTCTCAGCTTCCAGGAAGCCTGGAGCACTGGCTGGGGCCAGGACTGGAGCTTTGAGCAAAAAGAGCTGCCACCTAACCCAGGGTGGAGCCTGGGAGTCATTGGGAGGTACCTCCGGATGGAGAAGGACATCCCATGCCAGTCTCCAAGACTCTGGGCACCTCAGGTTTCGCTAATATCCGGGAGGAACTGGGGCAAGGCTTGGGCCCATATTTCTAAATGTCAGCAAGATGCTGACTGCAAAGATGTGGGCCCTGGAAGAGGAACACCAGGTGAGCCCTCTCCCTCAGGCTCCTCCAGAATGAGGAACAAAGAGTCAAAAGCTTTCAAATGCTGCTACCTGACAGGTGCTCTTCTGAAAGTCTCCCATGCTCACTCATTTAATCCCCATGATGACCATGACGGTTCACCCCTTTTCCAGGGAGGAAACTGAAGCTTAGGGAGATTGAGTCACTTGTCAAGGGCCACACAGCACTAGGGAGTGGAGTTTCTGCACTGGAGAGCCAAGATGAAAGCAACATCTATCACCTCAGGTCCTGAGGTCAGACTCGGTGACACCACACTCCGGCACCAGTTCTCCAGACCTCACAATCCCATTTGGGAATAAAATATACAATACAAACTTCCCCCAAGTTGGCAGACAGCAGGAGAATTTTAAGTGACAGGGTATGCCTAATCAAGCTCCCACATCAAAAGACTCCTTGGAGGTCACATGTGCTGGGAAGGCAAGCATGGGGTAGCTGAGGCCTTTTCTGTCCACCTGTGCCCATGGCTATTTTCAATAACCAACCACAGAGCTTTTGCCCATTGCATCCAGGAGCAGCTAATGCAGCAACTACCACTCTGTATTAGCATGAGAGGCTCCCTGCCTCCTTCATCACAAAGGAAATGGGAGACCAAGCAAGCAGTAGGCACAAAGTTCTCCCTTGTGCCAGGTCCTGCCCAGAAGGTAAACCTGTGGTAGCAGGTAACAGAAAGGGGCACTTGAAGAGATGGCTTGGCCAGAGCTAGGAACACATAGACCAGTAAGGAGGCTGGCCTGGTTGGTAAGCGCTCAGTATGGGTGTTCAGGGGATGAGAAGTTGTCAAGGCAGCTGACATTTTCTTCTTTAGATCTGAGAAGGTGATTCCTGGCCATTTTTCCAAGTCAGATTTCCTGGTCAAGTCTTCAGACAACCTTTGCCCCCATCCCCTGCAAAAATACAGGATCAGTGCATATGCTAGACTCCTGCTTCAAGCCTGTGCTAGGCTTGGGGAAAGTAACTCAAGGGGTGGGTAGGTGAGTGCTGCTCCCCCCTGACCCCCCCACCCCCGGCTCTCACGGATTCAGAGTCCTTGCCCTGATTCTAGCAGCCACGACAATGTCTCTGTGCCTAAAAGCTCTCTGGTCATCAGACCACACTCTGCCCAAGCATGGGGTAGGCTGGGACCCAAAACCACTGAGAGTAAGTGGGTAAGTGGCTCCACTCCCAACCCAGGCATGAGAAGCACATGCTCTCCACGTGTCACCTTGGCTGGATCCTCAGCTGGGAATCCCCAACCAGTTAGATCCCCAGCTTGTTCTGGCTCCAGTCACCTGCCCACCCCAGCAGTTACACTATCAATAACATGTCCTCCCTCACCCTCTCTCTATCTGTTCCTTCTCTGCCTCACCTCAGTGTTTACTCCCCTCTGGGATTTCTTCAGCTTGCCTCCCATGAAGCTACCTGTGCTGGTAACTTGTCTCTTGGACTCTCCTCACGGATCCTCATCCTCTAGTGTCTCTCTTCCACA